TCTCTCATTCGCTTAATGTGCTTGTGGTTTACTGGTATGTGCCGTTCAATAATAAACTTTAGTTGGAGCTTCGTGTTGCTTACTGAATCCTTGCACCGTTGGGATTTATTTAATAACGGTTATCAGAACGATTGGTATACAAAGCCTTAGGAATTATTATGAATATAATCCACTACAAATTAAAATTAATAATTAGGTAAGATATTTGTAGAAATCTATTCAGTCCAAAGATAACAACAGAATCATGCATGTACTATGTTGAAGAGTCCAATATTGAGGTGAAACAATGATCTTGTACCTCTTGGTTTCTATTAGCTTTAAAGCTTGGTTGAATAAACCTTTCATACAGTTTAATTCATTCTTATTTTTAATATATAACCTTGATGAGTTATATCACTATGACAAGCTTTATTCAATAAACTGGAAGTTTACTATTTTGTATCAGTCAGTCAGCTAGCTACAAAGTAGGACCAGGCACATATATAAATCGGTCCAAGTTGCCATATCTCATTATCACAGCAAGATGAACACCGGATTCACAGAAGTGGTTAATTCAGTGGTGGCAATATATAAAAGAAAGATTGCATATAAGGACATAGTACAGGAAGAAAGAATTAGTTGGTAGAAAGAAAGATATCAAGCGATTTTAATCTCTTAGTTTAAGGGAAGACAGAGAGTGTATGCACCTACTCCATTGTGATCGATCTTGAGCTATATCACATAGTCTCCAACTATTGGTTACGATAGTCACGTGGACCACAACCAAGTAGTCTGCATCTACCAATATTGCTCAGACTAGAAGTTAGTGACTTCAAGCACTGATACTACGTTGTTTTGCCGCCCACTATTTTTTATATTAATTCTTTAATTTTCAATCAGGTTTTTTGATGAAATGATTAGTTCTAGGTTAGTATTTCAATATAGATCGATGAGAAAAAACAGTACGCAGTTTTATTGTGTTTTAAGTTGTTACATTTTTAACGATGTAAATTGTAATGGAGAGAAAACGTTGAAAATCCTTGCACAACATTTCATTGGACAGTACTGTCATTTATTTGTTTCTTCTCCTTGTCATGTACTTTAATCTTTATTCAGATCTCTTTTAACTACACTTTGTGTTCATCAATCCTTCTTGTTTAAGCTTTTATTATGTGACTGATTAATTACTTACATTTTGTTACTTGAAAATAAGGTCATGTTTGATTAAGCTTGTAGTGACTTACTTTTATCAGAACGCGATTGGTTTAATGAAAACAATTATTATTATTATTATAACCAATTGTACCTGTGCTTGTTTTAATGTGCTTTTGTTTAACTGTGCTAATGACAGACACTTTGTGCTTCCATTACACTCCATTACTGTTGTGCGGTTCGTGACCTTCTTCGCACGTACTTTTTCCTGCCCACTCCGCTTGTACCTTTTCTTGGCACGACCTCGGTATTCGCTCGATACCACGAGATCGCCAGCGAAAGAAACCTGGTTCTACTCCGCATTCGCCTTTTGATTTATTTGGCACGTGTTTCTTTGTAGTGGTGTTCATAGTCAACTGGAACTCGACGTCACGCTACGAGCTCAAGATCACAGTGGGGTCCAGTATGTGATTGTTACACTTTGATTATCTTTTTGAAAAGATTGATGGGATCCCTGCTGATAGATATCGTGTTGGAAATATTTTTATCGATTCTCAGCATGCTGATTTGCGTTAGAGAAACCCTTGACTGTATGACAAAGGTTGTACTATTTGAGGTATTTTTGATATTTGTTCACTTTCTTAGATTAGAACGATTGAAATTGAGCACAGAGTGTGTGTTTTGATATAATTTAATACGAGTAACTCATAAACGCTTTGTACGCTGTACAAAAGAACGTAGTCTGGTCTAATCAAATAAATTTTGGTTTGTTAGTTCTGCATTCAAAGCGAGTATTGGCATTTCGGTCGTTACACATATGCCAGAAACTTTTACCAAATGGATTGGATTACTTAGATTACTAGTCAAATATTACTTTAAGTCGTACTTACCAATTACATTTTGTATACAGAATTAAAAAAATTGTCTAATCCTTGTTGGGTAGAGCCAGGTATCTACCTCAGACAATGAATGAATGATTGAGCGAATTATGGATTAATCAAAGTTGGATGCCAGTCGGCTCAGTGGTCTAGAGCTTAGGCATTCGCGCGTTTGACCGAAGGTCGTGGGTCCGAGTTCCTTCGGTGAGAGATCGTGGATGTGCACTTCTGAGTAGTCCCGGACTAGAACGAAACTTCCGTCTAATACTTCCACGTTTTCAATGATGGTCTAGCTTGGGTCGACACATGAATTCAATTAAATTAATCTGAATACATTTTCAAATGTTTACTTCTACAGGAATGTAACAAAGTTTTTTTGTTGAACAGACTAAACTGTTTGTAGTTCATACCATAAGTGCAGTGAACGCTCCTTCCTTCAGTCATCTCTGAAACACAAATTGACCTGAAATAACTTTACTACCTCACGGAAGATAAATTCATCAACCAATTGACTATGAAACTAATTATTTACTGTCAGTATAACTTATCAGGGATAAAAATAAAAGTAACTTATGTTGATAGTAACCATGTAGTCACTAATGACTAGCTTCAAGAGGTAATTCTCGAAGTAATATTGAGGAGCTGTGACTAATGGAGTTTAATCGTGTCGGGTGTGAGTCAGTTAATGACCGAAGACCAAGTTAGATGGTCGTGCAGTAAAGTAAATTGGTTGAAATTGTAGATTAATACAGTTGGATGTCGGTTCAGTGGCCTAATGTCTAATTGTTAGCGTGAGACCGAAGGCATAGGCCCAGGACAGGGTTGGATGAAAAGTGTTGGTTGGTGGCCTATGCTCCTTGATGAAGATTAACAGGCATAAGTAAGTAAAGTAACGTTTTTTTTCTAAGTGACCTCCTTCTAAATTATTTCTGATAATCTATACATAACTTACAAAATAATCACTATATGAAATGTATGCAAAGATACAGAATTTCACTACACCAACAACAGGACCGTTTTAAATAGAAAAAAAATTTATCCAAGTTAATATAGAATACCACTTATGATCATCAATGGAGTTTGATTATCATTAAATAGAGAAATAGACAAACATAACACATAAATACTGAAATCTTACACAATTCACATCTGACACGATTACAAGTATATCTTATTGTAGAGAGGCGCTAACTATTATGAAACTTAAGTTAATATATATATACAACCTTCTATGTTGATTACCTTCAAGTATCTAACTACAAAATATCCAATGATAAATAGAATTTCGTTTATTATTATTATTGTTTTTTTCTTTTAATTATCATCATTAGTATTATAGAAGGGTGTTGCTATGTTTCTTGAAAAAAAATTACTCCAAAGAAGTTCACAACAATAACGATAACGAAAAACCAAAAAAAAAGAAACGAGAAAGGAATGTTAACAAGGAATAAACAGAGAGGTAATTGAGGAATACATAGGTATATATATATATATAAATCTATATAATCTTATTAATAATAAGATCTTTATAGATTGAATACGATCATTAATCATTATTCCTGATCCTAAATGAATACACACATAATTGTTCTCTCTTCCCCCCCCCGTTTCCTTTCAATGTAGATTATGTAAATAATTTGTAGATAATATTTATAATTTCATTTTAACATAAGAAAATCTGTTGGAGATTGTTTGTTTATTTTTACACAGAAAAGAGAGCAAACAAACAAACAAACCATTTTTTTGTTATTTTGTTTCTGTTGCTGTTGCCAATTCATCATCATCATCATCACAAATGATGGATTGAAAAATTTATTCATTAGAAACAAATATGTATTGAACCTGATCAGGAAATATAATTGATAATAATACGAGGTGGTCAAAATATAGTAATGCATGCAAGTGTACACCGAGAATAACATACATATCTATGTGTATATGCTCAACATATGAAGGTGGGGTTACCTTTCCGCTATGTTGAAGACGGTGTAATAGACATATATGTATATCCGTATATGAAGAGAAACTTGTACAGTAAGATAATACTATTTCCAATAATAATAATAATGGGTACAAACGGTTGGTGGAGAAAAGAGAAACAAGACGAGCGAAAAATCACAGTTAAGTAAATATTACAAAGATTACAAAAAAAAGAAAGAAAACTAAATGAATCGCCAACGAATTAAGTTTAAGGAAAGAAATACAATTTCTATTCTTTATTTTTCTATTTTTAAAATGTGATTTCAGTAGTAAATAGAGATTAACCAGTTATGATCAACAAATATCCAGAGTAGTAGTAGTATGGTATTGACTGATTAGTTGGTTTAGTTCGTTGAATTGAAATTCATTTTGTCAAGTTTAAGGCTTGACAACTGAGTATCATGATTTTTTAAACATTATTGCCAATACTACTATTACTCTACTACTGATAATGTTGTACAGTAAATCTAGTAACATAATGTATATGAATAATATTTATTCAGATAGTGGGAAAACATATTTGTATTAATAAAATAAAAAATTTGATAAGTACAAATCATAAATGTTATTGTGTTTAATATAGTTGATAATACTACACCAGGAGGAGAACAAGTAGACGTATTCACTTGCATACATACACAAATTTTATGGAATACAATTTCATTTAGAAGATTACACTTAACAAGAAGAGAATTCCAAACATTGGCATGCATATATATATATATATATATATATATATATATATATATATATATATGAATAAAACAGGCAAAATGCGTCAAAATCAACTAGGAAATGAAGAGACCTTTGAATTCACAAAGAATATATAAAGAATAGAGACGTGAAGAATTAGCTTAACATCAACTGAATTGTACTATAAGAAGTGTCGGAGGTAAAGGTTAGACAATCAGAAAATGGTAATAAAGAGACAAGCAGACAGTTCAGAGTATAATAATCATGATTGCTATTATTATACAAAATAGATTGGCTATTACTCTTCGGTGACATGACCTCGTAAGCTGCCTTGTATACGTTGCTTGAAGTGAAAAAAGGATGGAAAAAAAATAAACAAAACAATTATAATGATATTCATAAATTTTTTCAGGTATGAACCACAACAAGGCCCGGATTTCGACTTGCGATGAAATCAAATAAAAATCAACATCTTAAGGATTTACACATTGATGAGTTACAATCACTGTGTATCATTTGAAAATCTACAACTGTGACAAATGCAATAACAATTAACTGAGATGTCAAGTCATTTAGACTAACAACCACATTACAACGTGACAGATAGAATTCGATCAACGGTGAACAATTACAAAAGCATGACATTGACCATTATTCATTCGTCAACTATTCGTAAGTATTTCAGTCACACAGGAGGCTCATCACAGTTTACCTGTAACGTTTTAGACTGTGAATCTATGTCATACAGGATCACATCCAATAAACAGCATCAGTTCTCTCAACATTATAAATATGTCTTAACCGTGAATGCAAACTGGAATAAGACCTAGATACAGGAATCCAGTTGACTAGCCGGAATCATCTAACGCAGATTCTGTGAAGATAACTTCGGTATTAACCACAACGTTCCTACACTTAGTAATAACAACCCATGAGTTTTTCGCCTGCGATTCAATTACTACCCTTTTATTTCTTTTTATTCTCAAAATACAAATCAGTATTGAGGGGGGCCGCACCAGAAGGATGTGTAGACAACAAAATACTAAGTGATGAAAAACCAGGTAAACAGACTGAATTTTGAAGAATCCTAGTGATATTTTAACTGACTGAAATGGAAACAGGGGAACTAGATAAGCAAAAATAGGGGGGGGGGTATTTTAAGATGAGTGAGACTGATGTATCTTAAGACTTTCAGAACACAGCATTACCTCAGTTGGCATCAAACAAATCAACATGTTTCAAATTATAAGGACTGTAAAAGATAATTAAAAACATACTTCTTCCAATTCCTTTTTAGTTTGCTCTTCATGTATTCTCACATCTTCCATTGTCCAACCGTGCCATTTATCCATCCAACAGAATACTTGGCGATGAAAGTTAGCAAACAGGCGTCGTTCTTGCTATTATTTTATAGGAAAAACGGATCAATACAAACTTAGTAGGATGAAGAACTGTGTGTTAAAAAGATAAAAAAGGAGACATTCATCTTAAAATCGCAGACTTGGTTTGTACATCGACTAAAACCTATCCCAATGCTGGGAATCAATTCATATTAATCACTAGCTCAAATCTTAACACCCCAACACTCTACTTAATAAGACTTTAAATCGATAAAAAGATTGTATACAACTTGTCAATAGTTTTGTCAGTCAGTATACTAATCATGAAAAAGGTAATAGGTAGTAATTGTTATAACTCGTCACTTGAATGCTACTTGTTATATCTGGTCGTCGCTGATCGTTGTGTCGGAAACGCTTATCACTTATACTCGGAACGAGGGACCTCTGCAATTCTTACGACGAGAAAGTAAGAACACAAAGACTACTACAAGAGATTTATTAACCCCAAAACACGACGACGATGCTAGTCAAAAATACACTCATTTATATATTGATTCATACACCCATTTTGATTAATAATTAGGACTAGATCACATACTCAGTTATAACAAATCACAGACTGAGGATAGTTCATGTTAATGGAATACAAGAATATCGTATATTATACAGAATAAAAATATCATACGAGAATAGAAAACAAATACTACATTGAGTAATCATTACATTGAATGAAAACGGAAGTAATGTTGAACCAAAACTTATAATGAGTAAATCAATCGAATTTTGACTTTTCTTTCCATCATATCTGTAATATTTGACATTAAATGTTTATTTAATTTATTAATTTGAACACATGAACATTGGTACATAATAGCACCAAAATATATATGCGCCACATCGTATTCGCATGCAGGTTGGGATAGTATATGGCTACCTAAACCAAATTAGACGCTTTTCTTAGAGGGTCAACCTCAAGTCTTTCATTCAGAGGTCTCATCCACAAAGTAGTTAAACGATGTTGAGAGATGCGGTTCCATGCTTGCAGATGATCAATGATACGTTCATACACCATTTATCCTGTCAGGATTGTGGAGTGCCTGTACACCATTGGTTTGGAATCAGTGCTTCCCAACTGCTCATGATGGATGCTGCATACCCAACAACCAGGTTTCAGCTCCATATATTTGTTTTCCGTCTTTTCGATCTCGTAAGCAACATCGTTGTGGCAATAAGGTGGTAGTGAGTAGGACTTCCATGGTATTGTGTATATACGTGTTATCATATTCGAGGATTTCGAAAGGGATAGTGAACTCCACACCTTCGGCCGTACCAGGGCATTTGGGGGAATACAATACTCAACCAATCATTGTTACACTTTTATTAACCTGATTATACGTGCACTTGGAATTAGTTAGTTGCTCAGACACTTTTTAACACATGTACATACCTCAACCAACCAATGATGGAATGATACGTACTGATTTAAGTGTGAATATGTAATCAAGTCAACAGTTACACTACTCAGATTACAAAGTCAAACTGTTGTCGTATCATATAAGAAATGGTAAAGTGTAAGAAAATCATGCGTCACATATAGCTGAAGTTAAATTTCAAAAAAACTATAGATTCAGTGAATGACTATACAGTGAAAGCTTATCACTCCATGAATACATATAATCTATTATACACTAAATAGTGCATATCTAACTAAGAAGTATTTATCTCATTTCCTTGTATTAAGTACTGACTAACTAGTAACATTATTTCAATAATTATAATTCCCAACTATTCCTATCTCTTGGTATTCTCGGACACCAATTCACTCGACAAGTTCCCAAATCAGAACATGATTGAACAGGAAAGAGATTCATATTCCAAATAAAAAGGTTAGATGGAAGTAAGAAGCACAATAGGAAAAACGTTAGTATAATTATAGTTTTTGCATGAGAAGATTCTAGAATGTTCTCCAAGTATCGACTAGAGCTGAGTGGATAAGAATTAGCCAAAGCAATCGCGTATTGAGCATGCTTTAATCTAAACTATGTCCCGCTAACAGTTACAATGTCTAATTTCCGACCACAGTATTCAGCATTGATCAAGATTTTTTAAAGACTACTACCTAAAACTGTCATAATGAATTGTCCAAATTGAAATAAACAATGCAAAATTCGAACATGTGACCCAGTAACTAAAAGTTAACTGCTACTATAATTGTAAAACATTACCGTTTTGATTATGATTAAACACTGAAAATATTGCAAATAAATTAAACAACTAGGAAGGTATTTAGAGTTTAATTATTTCATATATTGTAAAACAATAAACAATACATGGAACAATTCAGACAAAAACAATCAAATATGTTTAGTAAAGTAAAAAAAACACGCTAGGAATGACAGATTTTTGTTTTGAAGAAAGTAAAAACAACAAAGATGAATTCAGAATTATATAAATTCATGTTATTTGACTAGTTTCTGATTAAGTCCCCATCTGGTACGACTGAGGATGGGAAGAGTCAGCTCTTTCTCCAAATGCTTTCACATGGCCACGCGTATACAACCACTGCCAGGGAAGTCCTACTCACTACCTTCTCGTGGCACGGGTTTTATTTACGAAAATGAGAGGACGAAAAGCGAATGTCCGGCGCTTTGACCGGTTTGGTGGACACGGAGAGTACACCTAGGCGAGTTGGAAAACCCTCATTTCAGACTAATTGTGCACAAAGGCTCTAGGATCATGAACGAACAAACGGCGTATGAACCAATCGTTGGTCACCGGATACCATGAGGCTGAATCTCTAGACGTTGCTACACTACCTTATGAATCAAACCTTTAGGTCGAAGGCTCTAGGTGTGGCCCCAAAGAAAACCACCTGATTCGGTTTGGGCACCCCAGAAGTATCTCAAGCCACACACAAATGAAGTAACTTGTGTGGCGCATATTCATTCGGCGCCTCTTTGTACCAATATTTATGTGCTTAAATAAACAAATAAAATAATGTCATCAGTTGCTTACAACCTATAATACATTATAGGTATTGATATACTTATAAATACAAGGGTGATTTGAGATGAATTTGTATAACATGATGTAGTGAAGATTCCAATAGAATTAATAAGGTCATAAAAAATCTTTTGTTTCAGGTAAATAAATAAAGCGTGTAAAGGAAAGTTTCATAACATTGAACTAATGTTTAGAGTTAACAAACTAGATGATTGAGTAGTGAAACAACTGAGAATAGATTAATGGTAATAAAGATATGAATTGAAGAAAAATGGCAATGATGTAATCCAACTTCAGACAGAGTTGAAATAATGAATGACGCAATAAAAAGGATGTAATGTTACCAGGGCAAAGAAAGATTTATCACTTTTTTCTGGACACATAGACCAAGTTTTAGACGATTAATCTCTGTAGCTCTAGCAAATTGTTGCTAATCACCTTGAAAAACTTCAGTCTATCTACCTGACGTCCTGTGTCAAGGTGTCTAGAGATGGCACTGTTGAATGCTTTTAATACACTTGGTCTAAGGCTTTTTTGGAATATGTTATTTGGATCAAACGTAGGCTCTCTTTTCTGTTTTACCGATGTAAATGCTTCGGCAGATACATATGGATTTGTATATACAGTTGGTGGTAACATGAAAGGGATACCTATCGACCTTTAATTGTGTTAAAGAACATGTTATTTCGGACAACAGTTTAGTTGCAGGATAAGCTCTTATCAATGCAGTCTTTAGTCTTTTTCACATTCATTAGTTTTCTCTTCTAGCGTATCCACAGTAAATATTCTTTCTGTTCTATGAAATAATGTTTTAACCAGTGCGTTTTTGTAACGGAGTGGACAAAAGCTATTGCAATTGTCATAAATCCCATTCTGCTTTTTTGATAGACTGAATTGATGGGCTGTGCCATCCTTTCTTTGTTTTAGTGTGATATCGAGAAAATGGAACGTGGTTCACATTTTAATGCTCCATAGTAAAATGGATACATTTATGAATTTCGTTGAAAAGTTTCAGCAGATTTGTTGTGTGTCGTTGATTATTACACATGATGAAGGTGTTGTAAACATACCTCGAATAATAAACCATTTCATCAATCGATGTTTTGAGCTTGGTTCTTTCGAGATTAGCACCAATCTTTGTTTTTGCTCTCTTCAAGATAATAAAGGGAACTAGGTTTATGAGATTTTTGTTTGTCTATTTTTTGTGCATCATTCTATCATTTGCTCCGTGTTTTAATACACATTTAATAGAATAATATTATACTCAAATTTGTAATAAACCGTTTTGACTTCAGTTTACTAACTAATGAAAAGTGTTGAAACGGAGGGGTACTGTACTGTAGAGAAAAACTACCTATTCATTTATCTATATCATATGTCAATTTTGATAATACAATAAAGCACCAAAAAGTGTGGGTCACATAAATTGTGAAGAAACTGAAGTGGGAATGAGGCTCTTAAGTCAATAAAGTAGCAAGAACAGTATTTAATAAGAGATGGAGTTTGGTTGAAAATACAGCCAGGGAAAAACTTGTTTTAGTTAACGAAAGAGCTTAAAAGAAGACTACAGCAGAATACCTTTTGCTTTCTATTCCGAGCCATATTTAAGAACTCAAGTTATTGAGTTATATTATCTTTAAAAACCCAATCAAAGAGTTATGATAAACACACAGATTCCATTTCCGTACAATAATGATATTTCAAAAGTTGACTATCTCTATGTATTTCTTAACCAGTACTAACATAAGCAAAAAATACACGATGTGAAAGCCAGTGAAGTTAGTGTTTCAGCATGATGACATAGTTACTTTGCTAGAATACGCAGTTGGACCTCAGTATTCCTAATACAGAGATGAAAATATAGAGCCAAAAACCAAATCAATGGGAGATATAACCAAAATAAAGAAGTAAACAATAACATGTTAAAGGTCCACAATAACCAAACAACATCGAAGTCTACAGGACAAGCTATGAGCCATATGTGAAGAAATTCGAACAATTCAGTTCTACCTAAGGTTTGTGCTAATGATGTCATTCAGAATAACGATAAAAGCTCTCCGACTAAACCATCCAACTCAAAGAACAAAACTCCATCAAAATCGATTTTTAATCACCTTATTTATGAATCATGCGATTTCAATACTTTCCTGTTTGACTGTGTTCCTATCTAATCTATAAGTGTAAACTGACAGTTATATCATTATAATACAGCGTTAATTCATAACTGTTAATATGATAAAAGTGCCGATTAATGGTCGTTGAAGGATGCCGACAACCTATAATTTTCTTGATTAATTAACTCTCACCTATTTAAATCAGGATATATATTTTTACACACACATACATACTGGAGATTATCTGATTAGAGGTGATTGCTGCTTAGTCACAGTACTCTCTTCACAGTATTCAAAATAATTACAATTAACCAACTTATGAACTAGAAGTAGGCAAAACATGTACATTTGAAACCTTTGGTGAATACTCACACATGATTAGCACTTTTTAAAAAACTTAATTGAAGCAAAAGTGACCGAATATGTCAATCACATGTGGCTTATCATTAAATCAATTCATATATATATATAACTATCAAGTGACCATTAAAAATCGGTCGTTCAAAAGTGTAGCATGTGTCATAAACATATGAATTTCAACTACAGAAGAATTATTATTGCTGTTATCATGAACCACTTTCACACTTTTGCTTATCGTTAAAAGAAAAAAAGAATAGTGCTTACATTAGCAAATTGAAACCATCTATGATTCGAAATCATTTTTAGGAATTTAAGTATTTCCATAGGTTTCATCATTTAAACCACTTTCATGACATATATATGGAAATTCACTAATCAAACATGGATACATTACAGAATATACATCATTTGCAGCTTTCAGTAGAAAAACAAGCACAGTAATACATAAAAATATGTCATAATATTATTTAGTTATGTATGTATAGGTTAATATACATAGGATAGAACTATATTGGTCCTGTGAGGTCAAGTAATATTAAGTGATTATATTTTGGTTAGTATACTGAGCGGCAGTTCGTTCTATTCTACTTTATGTCTGCGAAACGTGGACATTCAGAGTAGAAGATACTCGTAAGCTACTAGTATTTGATCACAGATGCCTTAAAAATATTGCTGGCATCTGATGGGATCATCGGGTAAGTAATAGTGAGGTTAGATGCAGTGTATTAGGGAATGATGGTAAATCAGTTGATGAGGTTGTAAATTTTCATTGACTAAGATGGTTGGACCACGTGTTGAGTATGCCTGAACTCCGATTACCACGATGCTCAATGCTGACTGGTATTGGGGATGGTTGAAGGAAAATTAGGGGCGACCAAACCAAAATGTGGCATCAGTGCTTGAAGTCACTAACTTCTAGTCTGAGCCATATTGGTAGATACAGACTACTTGATTGGGGTTCGCATGACTATCGTAACCAATGGTTGGAGACTCTTGGTGAAATAGCTCAAGATCGATCACAATGGCGTAGGTGTACACACTCTCTGTCTTCCCTTAAACTATGAGATTAAAATTGCTTTATATCTTTTTTTCTTCCTTATATGCAATTTTTCTTTTATGTATTACCAACATTGAATTACCTGCTTCTATAAATCCGGTGTTCATCTTGCTGTGGTAATGAGATATGGCAACTTGGACCGATGCACATATGTGCCTGGTCCTACGTTGTAGCTGACTGACTGATTTTGGTCAGTTAGAAGCAACGTGGAATGCAGGGACATATACAAGCTTCGGTACACGTTACCACACTATATGACCACAACGAGATGAAGTTATTTTTAAGAATGCCAGAGTAGTACAAGTAATAACGGTATCAGTAGTACCAGAAACAACTCGACATAGACAGTATGATGATTTAGGAAGAAAGAGTGAGTTGGTAAGATAAAAAGTAATAGATAATGTTAAAATTAAGATTTAAGGGAGTGAATATATCTGTGCCATCGTGAATGATTATGAGTCATATCACCTGACACTGCCAATGACTGGTTACGATAACTATGAAGAAACCAATCTGCTAGACTGTACCTACCAGGGCATACTTAATACATGTCTCAATAGATAAAACTCATTATACAATAGAGCAAAAGTAGATGTAACAGGGTTCAAACATGTAGCCAGTTGGTTGAAAATCGTGTTTTCTATACTAATAAGCTATCAACATTACGGTAATGTCTAGACTTTTTGAAATTAAACACTTTAACAAAGGATTTTCGATAAAAAAATATACACACATAAAAACTGTTACATAATTTGGGAAGTTTGTTTTGAATGTTCGAGTGTCAAATAACAAGCACTTGGACAGAAGACAACAAGTGGAAAGAAGCTTAAACTTTAAGAAGTGCTAGATGCTGAGTTCAAAAGCGCTAATGAATGCATCCTAAACTGTGAAACATAAATACTCGTCAAAATCATGTTGGTTGGATCAACTTATTTATATATTTACGTTTATTTAAACACAAACGTTGGTACAAGGAGGCACCATATATATATATATATATATATTTGTCTAAGAGCTGGAATATTACCCGGTCACCGAAATCGCAGCAAATGGTCATCTTAGGGGGCTACACCCCGAGCCCTTGATCTAGAGGTCTGATCTATAAGGCAGTGGCGCAAAGTTACGAGATGGAGTCCCGTGGTAGCCGGTGACCAACAACAGGTTCATAAACTTTTTGTTCCTTCAGGATCTTGGAGCCCATGTTCCCCACTGGTTTGGAACCAGAGTTTTCCAACCCCCCCCCCACGGTTGACCAGCTAAATAACTATGGCGGCTTGAATCTTATACTTGTTAAATGAATTACATTAAACTACAATTTATTTCTGTTAGTACGACAGGTTCAGATCGGGCTTAAATCAGAATGCGTTCATTAGTCTATTTTCAATCAAACAGTATGGACGGATTGTCGTGATGCTAGGAAATTTCCATGTAAATTCTATATAAACTCTAATATATTTTAACTACTCTATTTTCATAAAAGTTAAGTACAGGGACCCAGAAATACTTGACAGTAAAATAATAAAATAGTTTTAAATGATCATGTCCTAAATCGAATGATCGAATATTAACATACAGGAATGAAGAAAGCTCATATATTGTACCGATATGCATATCACTCCAAAATACTATGTTGTCGATAAGTTAGATTTACATATATGGAAATAATAATTTATAGAAGTAATTAAAATTATAGGTAAACAAAAGATCCAGCATACCCGTTGAATCATTTTCTCTATACGTCCTTGCATTCCCCACATTTTGAATTCACATGAAACAAGTTTGTATGCACACATAATCGGTCCTTTGTAACCATTCTGTAAATGAAGAGTAGAATAGAGACATCTAGACAGAATTTGACAGGTCATTAAATGAAAAAACAAACCGATTGGTTTCTATTTGAGTAAACTAATGTTATACAATAAAATGATGGTTAGCTTCATACTTTCTAGCCAGCCAGAAATTCGATAACACTGTATACTTTATCCAAAATACTATTTGATAATTAAGTTCGTTAAAAATTAAGAATTTAGGTAACTAGATCAAACCTTATAGTTGTTCACGAACATTCAGGAAAAAAATCACATGACCCCACTTTCTTATTCATATACAAAAATGTTTCTAGTCTAGTCATTAGTAGTTAGTACAAGGCAATCTTAACATCACGCAGTGGCATGATAGTTGGTGATGTTTAAGCTTTCGGTGATAAATAGAGAATAGTCCTAAATATTATCAAGTAAACAATATCTTTAGTGTGTAACTTTCCTCACTTTTGATACTGTTAGCTAATTATTTGTTTTATTAAAATACATTAATATCGGTACAAAGGAGATTTATTTATTTATTTATTTTAACACATAGATATTGGTACAAGGAGGCACCAAATACATATGCGCCACACAAATATCATTTGATATGTGTGAGGGCTGTGATACTGCCCGGGTGCCCAAACCGAAGCAGGTACAAAGGAGAACCGAAATAAATATGCGATACAGAATAAGAACGTAGGACTGCAGGGTCATAAAGAAAGGTGACGATAAAAAAACAATAAATTGTAAATATGAGTGAACAAGAGCAGTGAATAATGGGATAAGCAGATCAGGTATAAAAAATACAATTAGAAACATTCCTTTTTTTCACTTTTAAAATAAAGTCAACAAAAATTACAACAGGATGACCAGTGGTTTATGATTTGAGCCATGTCTGGTAACATATTAAGCCAGTGAGTTGTGTTATCTGTTTGACATCAAATAGAGACCGGCAAATACCAGCTCTATACAACTTTGTTTGGTAGCTCAGGTCTATGTTATAAACTAAACACTTCTCTTTTTCAACCAGTATCAGCGTCGGCAATAAAATGCAAGATATGGAAGTTGCTCGAACGATATTCATAAAACATGCTCAAGCCAATGAATCCGGCCTTTAAAGATGGTGACACTAATTGAATTATTGTCACTGTTTGAGCACACGATCCCTAATCTCCGCATGAATAGCAATGTGATCATTTCGTCTGAGAGTGATGGAATACTCTGAAATTTAGCTCAAGTTTTCATACCATATTGGTGTAGCCAGATAAAACTGACAAGATGGATAGCTGAAATAATAATAGTATCAGTGAAAATGAGAAAGATCCAACATTGTAGAATATAGTTTAAGATGAAAGAAATAATAAGAAGTACAAAATAATGTTGAGACCTATGACTTAGGAGTGGATCTGTACCACTGTGACCGATTCTGATTTATCTCATCGAAAGTCTCCAACCAATGATCGTGGTCACATCACATGGATCTCAGACTCATAACTAAGTCGAACAGTTAGTGATTTCATGGATTGGTGTCAAATTTTAGTTTGGCCACTTGAAAAAAGGTTACCTCAACATTCAACACTGGATAAGAAACTCAAGAGAAGATCGAGGAGATACGGTATATATCGATGACATCACTTCATAACGTCCTAGTCAAGGCTATCTGTTATTTGATTTGCATCAAACTATGCATTCTATAAGCCTAAGAAACCTATCATAATACAACTCAAAGAAAGTTATACATATGTGTAAAGACAAACAGGTTATTATCTTAAAGTAGAGCTGTAACTAATTGATCTAAGCATACGATTACCACTTTTTGAAAAGTAGTTTAAGTCACCTAATTTATGATAAAAGTTCATTTAGAAAGGAAATATACCACCGTTATCATGTCCATCCAGGGTGAAAATATATAAGTGAATAATAATAATAACAATAATAATAGTAGTAATAATAATAATAATAACAATAATAGTGAGAACTTGATACATATTGAAATATACAAATGTGTATGACCTCGTTTTTTTTCATATTTTGACCTATTAAGGTTGAAACACAACAGGATTTGACAATAAGAGAGAGAGGAAACAATATAAATGAACAAGAATGAACATATTGAAATGATAGTAATTAATAATAACAATCATTATTGTTATAGTAGAATGGATAGTTCAAAGATAAATTACTGTACAATAATAGATAAAGATTAGCTTTAAAAATAAACAATTGAAAAAGTTTAATTTATTTTTAAAAGTATGTTTAGAAAACGATATTCATATGAAACATTACCATAAGTGGATATTTTGTAGTAAGTGAAAAGAAGTTATTGACAAAATCTATGACGATAAATGGTATGTCAGTCAATCAGTCGGTCTTGAGTTGTGTTAGAAGTACGAGGGTGGTTATCACTTCCCGGTTGCCCACACCATGGAAGAGTTCTTCTAAAGGTACCTGAAAAGGAAATTGAGTTGTGGGTGGTCTTAGTGACCTGAGAGCGTGATCACAGTGCCCAAGGGACAACTGCTTGAGGTCAGTCACACACGACCTATTTATGAGTAATCTTCGTGTTAGCTCCGTATTTGTTGGGACCTTAACGCCGGAGACATATCCGTGGGATAAGGTGAGGTGTGCAATTTAGGGTCGATGTTTTCTAACCCTACCCCTCCTTGGAGGAAGGCAGCATTGCTGTTATGCTGGCTATCTGAAGGAAACACCTTACTGCTGTCACACCTCTGTACAGTCAGCAGTACGACTTCACCTTCGGACATTGGGTTTGCCGCTTTTAGTCTTACCGTTCTTCAACCGACCTGTCTGGCATGGTAGGACCTTGAGGAACGGTTGTTCCAGCCAGTACAGCTCGATTGGTTCATCACGAGAAGCAAGCCCGACCACCACGTCAAGGTAGCAACAACGGTCGGGATAAATGGTATAGTATTATTGACATAAATGGTATGTCAATAATACCAGGAAATATCAAGGTAGAGCTTGACAAAGTTGTCATATCACATTGTCACGATGAGAAGAATATGATCCGATGGATTGTGTAAAACAGATGGAAATAATTTATTAGTAACCAAAATGCTTCAGTCTGGGCACCCAGACAGTATCACAGCCCACGCACAAATCAAGTGACTTGTGTGGTGCACATGTATTTGATGATCTTTTGTACCAATATTCATATGTTCAAATAAATAAATAAAGTGAGAATAACTGAACACTAGAGAATATAGCTTGAAACGATAGAGTGGAAAGGTATATATGAAGGGACAGTAGAACAAAAGATCTAAAAGATGAAAAGTGATTCAGAGTGATGCCATTCAAAGTTTCCAACCAATGATTTCGCTTAGTATGTGTACAACATAAACTTGGATGATTATTTTACAACAAACCAAATGATACCAAAAAGTAAGATTATAAGGTTTACTGTAGTTTACAATATTTTAGTTTCAAAGTAAGAACAATGAGAGACACATTATTACACAAATACAGACCTAAAAATGGAGCGGTTGGTTAATGTTTACAGCACTAGGTTTTTAATCAACAAGTCTCATATCTCAAACTCGCCTTCAATTTGAGTAACTGGTTAGTATCGTTCTCCCTAGCTAGCTACCAGACACATAAACTTAGCTAGTAGGCTTTGATTCCTATTATTTACGATTGTTATGCAACATTATTCTGATTGAAATAAAGCAATTCACAAATGATTACTATCCTAGATGAATTAGCTTGAGTAAGTTGGTCTACACCGCCAAGGAAAAAGAACGCACTGTTTTGATTTTAATAGAAAGTGGAGCCTTCAACTAAAGTTTGACCGGACATTATGCGACCATAATTTCTCCAGTAAATATTTTTTCAGATGGATGCTGATGAAGTAAAACAAATTGTAAGATAAACTAAAAATAGTTACAAAACTTATCTCATCAGCTATAACACAGCGCAGCAGTTTAGTGATTAAAGTACCTATCCGTTAATTACTAAATATAAGGCAACTAATCTTATTAGTAAGCTTCGATAGAACAACTACATATCCTCATTCTGTTAAAACTGACTGATAAGTCGGGGATCTGAACTTAGCTTGAGCTGTTAGGTAATCGTGTCACCAGCACTTACACAACAAATGTAGCCCAAATCAGATCACATGAACCTGTGTGCCAGGTTACTAAGTTAACAAATAGAATTGTATCAACTACAAATTGGTTGTAAAATGAATGTCTTTATGGAAGGAGATATGATTAAATGACTTACAGCAATACAAGATAACTGGTAATCTTAGCATCGTCTCTCCACGTCTTTACAGAATGAAATAGTCAGAAATTTCACCTAGATATAACAACTGAGACTCAACACATCATCACAGCCTGTGCATTACATAAATGAAATCAACGTAGAAAGTGATCAAAAAAAATAAAAGCGGATAATGTAAAACACAGTTTTTGAAAAATCACAGCTACATATGTATACACATATCCACAAAGTAACAGAAAGATTCTACAGATAAATTACCTCCCACCATTTCGGTTTTAAGGGCCCACGACCAGTCTTTTCAGAGCGAAAAGTTGTAGGATCTTCATTAGGGTTATAATCTTTGTCTGCCTGAGAAATATCACCAATATCTATGTAGATCACTTCAACTTCCGCCCATTTTTCCGGACTTAACTGATGAGCCTAACAACCGAAAAGATATATGGAAATTAATGTATCCAATACGTCACCATGGTACTAAAAATATCACAAAAGTTATTTCTGAGAAATTTTAACTTTGGTTATCAAAAATAATGCTAGCTCCAATCATTATGACTAACACGATTAAAAGCATTAGTGTCACATAATGAATTGAAGTGATGATTGACGAGTTAACAATAATAATAATGCAAGATCTAATAGTTTCGCTGAACTTCAAGAGTATTAAAACAACAAATATCTTCGGCGAGATTATAATTTATGGACAGTCTTTGAGCGATGCTAAAATGGCCTTGAGAACGTCTACTTACATATTAGGGCTAAATCAAGGTTATAAACAGATGTGAGGAATTAGAACTATGATTTAAAGTTGATGGTTAGGGTTAGGAATTAGATTTAGAATTTTCATCACGAAATGACATCAGCTAAAATGCCAAAACGCTATTTAGCCAAACAGATGAAGAATTTTGCGCCGAAATCCAAGATCTCATTGGTTCGTTCATAAATCATAATCTTGTCATGTCTTCCAGTTGATAAATGCGGTAAATGAACTTAGTGGAAATTTGTCTACAGTTTACGCTGATATATTTACTTGTCCGAATTCCCTATCTAGAGACATGAATTCACTATATACGAGCTTCATAGTGTTATTACAGATACACAGAACATTCTTGACTTCGAACACAATAAAAACCGGTTTACGTAATTACATCTTCACAAAAACCTGTTCATTTAATAATCATGTAAACTGCATATAATTTTTGCACAATACTGGTACATACGTCGCACAGAATAGGGGAGGTGACCAAATTAGTTTGGAAATAGTTTTACAGAATTTCACAACACTGAGTTCAATCAAATAGTAAAAGCGCGGGCAACGTAATATGACAAGGTATCTTAATTTACCAGTCCAAACAAAAACCAATAAAATCCAATGTCTATACAGTGAAGTTAGCTTAGATAAAGATAAATTTCACTGAATATCTATGCTACTTGTGAACGTTTATGACACTTTTACTAAAATACTAATGAAACATTCAGCACGGATGGTATTTCGGACTAACTGCGATCTGCACACAATGAATACTGTAAGGTGTCAAAAGCTCTTCATTAACATGCAAGACATAGTCGAGTAAAGTCAGTAGAATACGATTTGAAAATTAGTTTGCAGTGTTCTTAATAACATGTAACTTAGCAGAGGTGAAACAACGGAGATTATTACCAAAGCCATATACATATTTATATTCATTGGTAAATGATTGAAACCCCACTAGTGATGGTGATAAGTTTTAGAAGCTTAAGAAGTAAAGAGTGGCCTTGATGGAAAGATAGAATAAAAACAATGCAGAGCGGTAAAACCATAAATTGTGGAGGATCATTAGGTGATACTAAAGCGACCTTGAAACAACTCACCTATTTACCAGTATCAAGCGAGAGTTATGAATTGGTATGAGTAATTAGGATTTAGAGGTAGAATTTAAGGTTAAAAATTGAATTAGAGAATTCCATGACGAACTGATATCAGCTATAATGCCAAAATGCTATTTAAATATATGGATGAATCTCGCGCCGAAATTCAAGACCTATCCATAATTTAATCGGTTAGTCCATAAAATAGTCTTGCCTGAAAGGTTTTTTATCACTGATTCTAACATTAAGGGGAAAATTGGCTCAACAGCTTTTATCTAGACGGTTATACATTGCAAGCTACTGTTAGTATAGTAATAATAGTAGTTACCAATAATAATGGTTGAGCATTAAAGTGAAGATTCAAGTATTGCCAAACTTAAATGTCCGTAGTAGAAAGGGAAAACAGCCCAGCAAACACAAGTGTGTGGGAAGGGAAATATTGTTTGAAACTGTCAATCAGTTTTCATTACACACTGGGGTATGATGAGTCGATCATAGGAAAATAGAAGTTATAAAATATCGTTTCGGGTTGGACAACCCACTAAAAAAAGCTGAGAAATACACACTGTAAACTTACATTTTCTATATTTACTAAGGAGTCCACGTGAAGAGATTCAATTGTTACACTAAACTTCTCCATCATGTAATTATTCTGTGGATTTTATAGCATTTGAAGTAAACTACTCACTGTGATAACAGTTCGACAGTAGGGATAAGCATTCCACGCATATTCGTTGAAAACGAATGCACTTTCAGGAGCGATAGCACGAACAAACCCTGGTACCTTGTGCGCAAGATGGTAGTATTTATGGGTGTATTGCCCAGTGCTGAACCTTGGGTCTCCTTTTAATAAAGGGCGATCAGGCTTATACGTTGTTTGATCGAACGGCTCGTTGACCAATATTTGCACGCCATCACCACCACCTGTCTCTCCTTTGGAAGCTTCAGCAACGGAATACAGTTGACCAACTTGATATTCTTCAACTGTCATAGGTAAAATTACACGACTATTATAAGAGTAAATAATGTGCGATTATCAGAAATGTCATACAACTAAAGAAACAACTAAAGAAAGAACTCACTACTCCTTAACAATCATCTTTGACGAACGAAAATTCGAATGAGGCGGCGTAGCGCACAGCTTTGAAGATGTTGAAAATCCTAAGGTATAATATGTAAAATATATTCCCAATAGTTGCGAAGGAATTCTCTTTTTTGCATTCACTCCTTGCCTCTGCGGTACAGTTAGAAGGCCTTAATATTAATCTTTCTGGTTGTGTTAAAATTACACTAGCAAACTATTACATTTAAGCTCACCATTATATCTGAGGAATTTTAGTGATTATACCATTTATTCACAATGTTTTACGTCAAAATTAAACTTTAATTCTAACTTGCCGTCGGCGTTCGAACTTCCTTTAAACTAAGCTATGTGTGATATCGAAGGAAATCTATATCGTTTAATATTTTTTCCACTAAGCTTCTGTGTGTCGAGTTTTCCCTTGAATGTGTCATTTGATGCCGCGCCACCCAGTAGAAGGCCCTGTAAGTTGGTGACTCGGTGGGCAAACCCATATACGGTACATATTTTGTTCATTTTTTTAGCTTTTCATGCCCTCCTGTTTTGTCTTTAGATGGGTGGATATATACTCAACGTTGTCATAATGCAGGCCAGAATAACGGCCATGTTTTCACCCACGTAGCCAATGAATTTGTCATATTATGATATAATTGCTATTAAAAAACTAGAATGTTCTGTTAACTTCGCTATGACTGTAAGTTTTATTTACCAATACAGACTTTGTTTCGTTGGACATGCATAACCTGATGGAATAATATCCTAAGTCATGGAAATTTTAGCAAAGGTCGTGATTGTTTAAGAAGTAAACCGTCAGGCAATGCTGTTATTAAAAAAGGTTTTCTGTGCTGTAAAATATGTTTTGACACATGAGTGACTCTTGTCTTCGGTCTCGAAACTATCGTTTTTCCTTTGTTATGTTGGTCTTACTGGCCTATAGTTTGTTTCTTGAGGTTTGTGGGCCTAATTATCTATAGTCAACTATTTTCCAACAAATGTCTCACGAATGAAACAATAACCATGACACCTTTTTAGTTTAGTGCACTTGGTTCAATTGATGTAATCAAAGTGTTTCAATGAAGCAATGTAGGACATCAGTTTAATTATTCGGGTTGCCAAATATTTCATTTCCGTTAGTGTGTTTTGTCGTTGAAACCAGAGAACAATGTGTGAGACTGTGTATGCATTACAGTGTAACTAGCTCCTAGAAGCTGAAGTTGGGAGCTTAGAAATTGTGCAGTAGATGAGATATCAGAAGGATATGATAATGATATATCATCTTTATTATATTTCCTTTCTTCCAAACACATCATTGATTGATTTCGTTTATAAATTAAACGTAAGACAATAGTGATATAGACCTGTTGTAATAACTTAGTCTTTACCAAAAACGACAGAGAAACTATAGCAACTCCCATATCAGCGTGTTTTTAATGAATATATTGATGCAAATCAGTTTGTTCACAAATAGAAAAAACTAGCTTAGACGTTTCTGTTGTAGTACACTATAAAATAGTGTTCAATTAAAAAGCGCGGTAAGGATGTTGGGTATGCGTTTGTAGACTGTGCATTTGGCTCTGACCATATTTCGAGATACTTGCTATTAAACAATTTCCCCAGCGTTAACATCGACAGTTAGATGAACAAGTGGCTGTATTGTTACCTTCCTGGAAAGCAGCAGTGTACAGTCCTAGAAGAGAAGTGTTCTACGTCTTAATTAAATACAGCTGGCTGTTGACAAACATTGAAAAATTTTAACACTATCCATGTATGTCTTCCCTTAAAACGAAATGCAAGTGAGTTAGAATACATAAATGGAAGCAAAAGGATAAACGCTGTACACTGCAATATTAAGCACATACTATGCTTTGCACAGGTCGTAATAGTTGGCCTAATCTTTGATCAATATTCATGAACATGCTGGTAAATGACAATTTTTACATTGACTTATTCCACATTTTTGACTAAAACCAAACCTATTCGTTTATTTAAAATAGAACATTGGCGACTCCTGACGGATCTTCTTGTAAGGTGTTTCATCGTCACAATTATGGCACTTTCTCTAAAGTTTCTAAAAATTAGTCTGGACGTTAGTTCTAGCCTCACAACCACTTCCACTAATTATGAGTTACTTCTTTATACTGTAGTTTAAAGAAATAACATGGACAATAATTTAACATCAATATGAAAGTTGTAAATGGAAATCTGGTGTAAATGTTTGTTTAATATTCCATTGACTATGAGATAATTACTGAATAAATCCGTAAATCTGGAGCACGGTTCCGCTCTTGTATACCTTATTTATTTGTTTATCTATTATTATCCTTATTCAAAATTATATATTTGGTACAATATAGAATTCACAACACACAGTACTTTAGCGAGTTTCCGCTTTTTTTGATCGATATGAACGATAAATATCGAGTGATCGGCAGTTAGATATTAGCATTTCAGAAGTCGACATCTGATTAATGTTCATTCGTTTCAATGCACACCACCAGCCATCATTATATCTGCGATTGTACATCACTGGAACTTGTATAGCAAAATATCGTAAACTTTTCACAAACGTACCTGAATAGGTAGTGAGATTAATGGGCATAATGATCTGTTAAGACAACCAAGGATACAGATAACTTATTGCAATTTCTAGATGGCAGGATCAGTTGGCCCAGATATTTAAGTAGGCCGCCTTGATACTTGCGAACAATGTCTTTCATAGACTGCTGGAATACTGGTAACATGAGCACACTTTATACGGTACAGTATACGGGTCTACACGCTCGCTTAGCTTCTTAGTGAGCATACGACTACATTCACGTTAAACACGTCACGACCCTCCTGATTGCCTTCATAGTAAATCGGTATGTATTTACTGAATATGATAAAACGTCTTCATTTTGAAAAGACATATAACAGTTAAAAAACTAGAGTAGTACGGCAATACACAACAAATGTACATGATGTGACTTGTCCTCATCGATTACCTGAAATACAGAATAGAGATAGCTTAGTAGGTGCATTTAGTAGGATCTTAACGTCAATTTTGGAAAATTGAGCGGACTTACCATATGAGGGATAGCTATGCTGCGACGACGAATTTTGTCGAAATCGAATTTTACGGGTCGCACGAAACACTACAACCGCAAGGAGTTTATCCAGAAATAGTATGAATAAGAAAGCTGAAATCTGTACATTGTTACACCATTTCAGCACTTAGTCGATATGATTTCATCTCTTCAGTCATGCGCCTGTAGTGACCTACTTTTATCAAGAGAACGCGATTGGTGTAATGGAAACAGTTATTATTATAATTAATTGTGCCAGTGATTGTTTTATCGCATTTGCTTGTTTAACTGTACCAAAACACATACATTCTCCCGTAGCTCGTGACCTTGCACGAACTTACGTTTGCTCAGTAGTTCTGTAGAATCATAGTCTACTATGATATCAGTACTTCTCTAATAATAGACCTAGTCCTAAAATTGTAGATTTGTCATGATATAACTGCCTAATCTATAAGATCTTACTTGGAAATCATACCATCGTCTACACCAACTCACTGTATCGTAACAATCACCAATACATGATGGAGTACAAGCTTAGGCTAGAGAAAGAACGATATATTTAATATGGATAAAAGATATAAGGTAATATTCCGCAGGGACCACGCCTGTATGACCGAGCCATGCCATCTGATCAATTCCAATTAATTCAACTCATTGTTGCCGCCTTTTCCATCGTTAGGTATTTCTCCACGTTAAATATTGAATATTTATTTTCCGAGTAGTCTCGTGTTCAGCTTTGAGAGTTGTGTGGTTATGGTCCAATGCCACAACAGTTCCACTTGTACTCCTTTGGCATGATCTCGGCATTATTTCGATACCACGAGATTGCCAACAAATATATCTTGCTACAACCTTCAGTTGCCTTCTGATTCCTGGTTTACTTGGAGTTTTAGCCTGTTCTGGCACGCAATCTTCTTGTTGTGGTGATCATAGTCAGACGTGGATCGACGCCACACTATGCGCCTACTGTGTATCACTTCATCGACCAAGTATAATAACAACTATTTACCCCTTCACTCTCTAACCATGGCCCTCAGGTTTACTTTTATGACCAAAACAACAGACACGTTACATATCGGTAGCGGGTATCCGGCACTTAATTCTTCAACTTCCTTACACGCAGTACGTAATGGGTCCAGTTAATCTATTAATGCTATATGGTATATTTTCGATGACAAATTTGAAACACACTGATTGCATCTCTGGCCTGGTCCCAGGTTGTTAGATGCCTGAATCTCATAATATTAAGAATGCAGAACAACTGAAAACTCATTATTGGTTTGGTTAGTTGACAGCAGAGTGTTATTTATAATACTCAAGAGAATAAGAAACCAGAGATCGTTTTCCTTCGTCGCTCTCGACAACATAAACAACAGTTAGAAACGAACATACGGGCAGCTAGAAAATCCAAGGTGGAAACGACATTTATTTTGGCCAGAAAACACTTGTTGTGATTTCTGATATTCACAAGATAACATTCAAAACAAAGTGAATTGACATTTAATAATACAAAGCACGTAAGCACTCACGAAAGAATACAATAACCTGAGTAGCAATAGGAAAAGATGGGAAAAAGAAACTGATTCAGAAACATTTGCATTAACACTCCGAGTATCACATAAACTGCGGAGTTTCATCAAACTAACAGAAAAAGTGGTGCAACGACACCAAAAAGCCAGCGGAAGAACACCTAGAATGAGGAAAGCCAGCCACAATTGCTTACAAGGATGTCGGAAATGATAATTCTTGCTTCATTGCGCCTGGTTTCAAATAGACTGACAAAAACACAAACCGAGGTTGTGTTTGTTTTTAAGTCCTTCGGATTTGTCCTGACCTTGTGGAATAAAAAATAGGGGCATATCATTTCCATTTCCGTTTATTCGTTTTCAAATATTACAAATCAAATAATCTTCTAATCTGTGGCGAGATATAGTAAAGTGATCTAACTTCTCT